AACAAATAAAGGGATCAAGTTCCCACAAGCATAACTCTTAACCAGTATTAAATCTAGATCACGATCTTCAGCCACAGTCCTGCATTGGAGGCACGACTTACCCTGCTTAATAAGATAAGAGCAACCTTATCCCATGCAGACCATCAAATAATTCTACAGAATATTCTCCAAAATCTATGGCGTCTACAAAACATGCCACAAACTCTAATTGAGTAGACTAAATTAATCCTACCTACAGGATATCCTAGCCTATATCCAACAGTTGGCCACTACAGAGGAGGGATGAAATCACAGGTCTTCACGCTCTCAACTTATTTGGAATAATAAACAAGCAGCATTTGACCCTCTGTCACTGGAATTTCAATTAGCCATCTTGACAGACACACAAAACATGAGAACCACCAAGTTCCTCTTCCTCCCTGCATGCCAGAGCAAGGCCATGTAATTATATTGTCAAAATCTGGCCCATAATGTTTACACTGCATTTTAGACAGCCATAGCTGTTGCATTAAACGATTATAATCTTTTGCAGTATGGCAACTACTTCATAAGCAGTACCTAAGTTACAGCAATAAAGCAGCAGTGACATTCAGATTAGATTTGCTTCCTGACTACATTAAGCCTAATTACATTCCTTTTTAATACCCCACACCATTCAAAGGACATATAATGACTATCATCATGAACATATTTCGTGTCTCATGAATGAGCTTTTCCAGTAATGAGCTTGACTTACATATCTAAAACATGCACATTAGAACAGAAAAGCATATCTTAAATGAAAAAATCATATATATGCATAAATATATTGAAAAGCATATCCGTATAAAATGAAAAGGCATATTTTACATACACCTACTCATAGTCATTAAACAGAGAACAGATGGAAAAATTTGCACTTCATTTTTTTTGAACTGCCTCTTTTCAACTTGGTAACGGGGTTAGCTCTACGTCTCCTCATGTTGTGCGGCTCCCTCACAACTGTTACACATACAGAACTTTTGAGTGTAAACCATGCTCTGACTTGCTCTCCTCAAGCCTCACCTCACTTTGACAGTTCAAACTTTGTGGTAGACAGGATTAATTTTGATACTGGTAATGCACTGAAGCGTTTACTGGGCCAGTAATCAGAAAATTTAGTCTACCTTTTGTTCGTATGATTTTAGTTCATCTTATAGTTGAAACAGATGATTTGGCAGCACAGAGGTGGAAGAGAATTCCTAAAGCCCACAAAGGGGACGTACGTTGTTTGTCTGCCATAGAACCTACGAGCCCTTGCTGCCTGCTGTATGGCAGAAATTATGGGCCAGGCAGTGGATGCTCCCCTACACTGATTCAGCAGAAATGTTAGTGGAGATGCAAGCAGTGTAAGCATTCCTTAGTTTGAAGGTGGAATAAATCCATAAATACATGCTTTGTCATGGGATGATGAAGGGAGAGAGCTAATTTCTTGCCCCACAATTAGCTGGATTTCAAGGAGGTGCCAGGATCCGAGATGCAGGAAGCTTACAGCTCTCTGTTGCTGTAGATGTATGGCAGCAATCTCAGAAACACAGTGCTGCCTCCATTCACATTCACATTACATTGAACACTTGGGAAGCTCTGGCTGGAGGGACCAGAAGCTCCTTTCATTTGAAAGCTTATTATCAGTAGAAACTAATTATCAGTAGAAACTAAGCTTCCTTCTCGCAAAGGAAGAAGAAAATGTAATTTGACATGAGTGAAATTGTTTGTCAGATGTCTCTGCGTGCATGCTAGTGTGCAAGAGAGAGGAAGCACAGAACTGATATCTTAATAATACCAATCCTTAGGATTTATTTCTTCTAATCACTAAATCTCAAAGTACTCCATGGACACAGGTAATGTGATGTAACACAGGTTCTGTGACAGGCTTTAAATAAAAAAACAAATCACTGCCAGAACCTGGAGTCGAACTAAACATAGATAACCTCAGAAATTAGTTTACACGGACATCTCAGACAGTGCTTTAAACTCAGCTGTATGGTCTGTTTATTACACTGCAGTTGTCAGACTTGTAGATACAGTGCTAGCCTGTATATTTTATAGGATCTTCTGGTTAGCCTATGGGTCATATTTTTCACAACTGCAATTCAGCATGATTTTTGCATTTGAAGAGCTGTATAAAGCATATGCAGGAAGTCAGCATCTCTTATATAGACATATTATTATGCTTCCCTTTACAAAGTTGCATTAGCCTCATGCCTGCTGATAGGTAACAAGGTGATGGCACAGCACATAAGGCCAGAACCAGCCTTCCTAGTCACCTTCGTCCCCTTCCAGTCCAATTATACATTGTACGTATTCATGCAGCTTTCCATATCTGCTGGTCAAAATCTGGCTGCAGTAACAGAAATGCCTGGACATCTTCTGTGTTATAAAAAAGCCTGTTCCAATTTTTATGGCAACAAATATCAATCATAATAACACCGGTACTCTGCTGTAAAATGATTGTTCTAGTTACACCATTACTCTAGAATTTATTTGTGAAAGCCCTTCACAGGCAAAAAAAAAAAAAAAAAAAAAAGAAAAATCCTGTTTACTATTAGCTCTTAATGTGCAATTATTTTTATTTGTCTTCAGGAAATGTCAAGTAGCAGCCAGCACACAGTATCAAGCAGCACCAGGGAAGCTGAGTGCAATGAAATGACCTCCACAGAAAGTCAAATGGAAGCCTCTCAAATACAAGAGGTAACTATATCAATTAATAATTAAGTCATTGGACAATTATACTGATGCTGATACATATCTGCTTTGCTTCTTCCTCCTTTACCACTTGGTACAGCAAGATCTGGATGTTCTGCTGATAGCCTCCCTCATTAGGCAGTGCATAATATTTTTTTTAAAGGTGTTTTATTAAGTGTTTTTAATTTATTATTGTTTTAACATGGTAATTAATTAGGTTTCCATTCATATTTTTCTTTGATGTAACATTTTAAATACAGTTGCAGAAGTATGGAAAATTCTGACATATTGCACTAAATCCTGTAGTAAAGTGAAGGTTTTGTGCACAGGTTTCTCATCGCGAGCAACTTACTCATGAGATAAAAATGGCTTCTACATTCATTGAGCACACTGATGAAACAGGTAAGTGGCATGAGAATAAAGGCTCACAAATGAGCAATGGCAAATGTCTACTCGCACAAATGTACCGCTCTTAGCATACAAACGTGAAAATGTACATTGCTCTGAATTCTCAGCAAAGTACATTCATTGACTTCAATGGGACTTAAACGAGTTTAGAATTCAGTATGGAGAGGTGGCTTTCAGTGGTTTTAAATATGCGCTCAGTTGCTTAAAAGAACTGGGGACTTGAATTGTCTGAAAACAGGCAAACACGAGCCTATGTATATACAAAATTGTGGATGAGAAAGGCTCAATTTATAGCTGAACAGAATAGCCCTGCAGAATATGACCACAGCGTTAAGACACTGCTGCTGCTGCAGTTTAGTCCTGGTATTAGAATTTACACATTATATCCTCTCACAGACCCCAGTCAACCTTTAGCCCTGCCACACCACTCAGGTATGGCAAAACAGTAGGTGATAACATGTCCCTCAACGACTATTCTGTCATTGTCTCTACGGATTTCTGTTCATGATCAAGTGACTCTCTCGACTTCTGCAAGACTAAGTACAAATTTTCTAATGTAATAATGTTTTATAATTCATTGATAAAATCAGTTTCGTAAAATGCAGGGTGGAGGAAAAACGATCTTTTTTATTCTTCTTCCCATTGCAGGAATCAATGCAGCTCAGAACGAAGAGCTCCCAAAGACTGTAACACAGATTTTAAAACAGCAGATTGAAAGGACAGCTCAGGAAAAGGCTGTTCATGCTGACAGAGAGACTGCAACACCTGCAAAAGAAGCAAAGGTCTGTGCTTTTAATAAGAGGGATCTTTCTTTATGCAAATTAGAAGTGGTGAAGTTAAAACATTGGTCCATCATGCAGTCTGAATTTCTATTTTGACTAATTGTGATCAAAAATGTAACCTATGAAAGTGGTGGGAATATATGGACTTTAGGAATTAAGTGCACGTAACATAATATGAAGTACGTTAAAAGGCTCAACAAGTACTTACAGTATGTGACAAACACAATTAAAAGTAGACCTTTAGAAAAACTTTTGCATTTCTGTCCCCCTCTGCTGAATACAGTCTCCTCTTTCCTTGTTTTGAATCTGTAAATATGTAAAATTTCTGTCACCACAGATTCTCAGGAGCATAGAAAATGTCACTTTCAGAAGAAATGAAAACGAGCATAAGCCACAGCATAACTTTACATTATGCTTATAATGCTAAGTCTGCATTTGTTGCAGCAAAAAACTCTAAGACTGCTCAATCATCATTTTGCATTTTGTATGATTTCCACATTTCTTTTCACATATATTCTATGGTGCAAATAGCACAGCTCTTCGTTCAAAAGATTGGTTTTATGCATTCTGAGCAATAGCTGATGGATTGTGTCTTTCCAGGTCTTCTTATAATCCTATTGCTTGGATCCTTGCAGAACTAGCTTTTGTGAAGAATAGAAAAATTGTTTTCTATGTTGCTATACTTTAAAAATAAACCAACCACTTTTGTTCCCTAAAGATGGAAAATATGTACCAGGAAATTACATTGCCTTCAACAGTTAGTTCATCTTCTACTGCTACTACTTCAGCAAGCAGACTACAGGAAACTTCTACACCAAGGAAAAAACAGGACAGAACTGCTACTTCTGCAATGATTTGCTCCAGATCCCATGAACATGGAAGCACAGAAAAGTTTTCCACTACTTATGCGAAAGCTCCATTGGAAATTACAGCAACTTCCCAGGCCACTGAATCATCCAGCTCTCCAACAAAGCCCACTGTCTCCACAGATCTGTACTCAAAGCAAGGCAATTTATGTGAACTAAGACATTTATACAAACGTTTCCACGCACAATTAAGAAAATGCCTAGAGAAACACTACCTGAATGAGACTTCTAATATTTTATCTGGTGAATCTGAAACATGGAATATGATGTCAGATGTGCAGCAGGCTAGATCTGGCTTTGCCTTCATCATTCAGATGTTCACAAGACCAGAAAAACAATGCTTAGAGTGACATGAAATCCAGAGAGGAGAGGTCCTCTCTATAAGATGGGTCTTTGAGAACCAGCCTTTCGTTCCAATTAAAGGTGACCCTCCAGACCCAGACAAAGCTAGAAGCATTGCAGACCAGGAAACCATTGCAGGTGGAAATGTTAAATACATAGCCTGGATGTTTCAGACCCAGCCTCTAGATGCACTGCGTGCACATGCTCCAGGCTCTGCAGGAACTATGGGCAAGGCTCTTGCACTAGTTAGACGAGGTGTTTGTGCAGTCACGTGGATGTTTGAAATGCAGCCACTGGACACTACGAATAAAATTTATCACGATGAGGAACAAACAACAGATGACACTCGCATCCGAGAAGTTTCTAGTGGTGCTGTAAAGACTCTGGGGCACGTGCTGGAAGCACAGAACATGGATAAACTTGGGCAGCTCTACCCAGTGGTTGTCCTTAACTTGTTGCAGCTGAGGTCTGAGCTGAAAGAGCTTAGAGGAAGTGTGAAGAGAAGCATAATGTATTTTGAACTTCAGCCATTGTCTGTTACCAGAGACAACTTTGGCCAAAGACTGGAGAATGAAGCTGTCCATAGAGAAGACACTGAAAAGAGGCATTTCAGAATAGCACACGGGACGTTCGAAACGCAGCCTTTACCTGTGACCAGCAAAGACCTGATGGAAATTGAAGTGGTACGTGGAATCTCAGTGGAGGAAAACATGAGCAGTGCTGTGCGCAAGGCAAAACAGTTAGTTGAAACACAGCCTTGGCACACAGAGGATTCAGAGGAATTAAGTCCAGCTGAAACATCATCACAAAAACCAAACAAGCAAGATCAAGGTCCCACACAAGATGCAGCAGCCCCTGTAACACCACAGCAAAGCACACTTTCTGATTCCAAATTTGACGGCAATGATAAGCAAGTAGTACAAAAATGCGACGTAGGAATTCAAATAGATCTCCATGAAGACCAGAAGGCTGAGAAGCTGAAGACACAGGAACTGTTGTGAAAGCTTCTAGCTACTATCTCTTCCACCATTACAGGGATCAACGCCACGAGAGCTATCCTGAAGAATTATATAGAGCAAAATAAAAATAAAAATAGATACTAAAATAAAAATAGATATTAAAATTAAAATTACTGTTGTATTTGAGAAATATTAACATGCTAGAAAATGTGCACAGAATGCACCTGACTTCTCATACTTAAAATTAATGCAACATCATCTTAACTGAGGTAAAATGTTGCCTGTATAAAATAGTTCTAGAGATAAAACAATGGTCATGTTTTCTGGACATCTGTTTTTAGTTTATTAAAGAACAAGATGTGACTTAAGACAAAGTGAACTACATTTCAGTGGGTTTCCTGTTTGAGTAAAATTACTGAAACAGTTTACAAATTGACATGCATTTTTAAAAATTGTTCTACTATTTCCTCCTGGGCAATTTTACCAGTTGATACAGCCCTAGTCTGAATTAAGGCAGCAAACCCATTTACATGATGTCAGAGTCCAGGTTTCATATCACTAAAGAGTGGAGCCACTCAGTGTCCCTCAAAAAGCTGAGCCTGTTATTTGTTTCATATTGAAGTAAACTTTTAAAATATATGAAGTATGTGAATATATACATGAATTTTTACATATGAATACGAAGTAAACATTGAGAATAAAACATGCCTTCTTTCTCATGGTGCATGTGTTACTTAACAATGATAATAAAATAGTATTTAGATTGCAAAGTTATGCATTTGAAGCTTAGAAAATATTACATATGCTTTTGCATGATGAACATCAATGTTCTTCTTTTGTGCATCTATTTTGGGCACTGAATATGGATGGGATCCTGTAGGAAAACCAGATGTTACCATAGCTTTAGCCATTTGAAATACATGACCAGAATGCTGATGCTTGAACAGGAATGGAAATGGCAGAACAAAGCTAAACGCTCCTGTACCTTCATAACTCCTAAACAGAAAGCTCTGCTTTAGGTTTCCCAGCTCTGTGCACAAAGAAGAGAAAGGTGCTACCTCTGTTCATGCTAGGAGCAGAATTAAACATGAGTAGCTTGTGATCCTGTAAAATGAGGCACAGTCCGGCGGTGGTCCAACAAAATACTTAATGTGGTGGGTTGGCCCTGGCTGGCAGCTAAGTCCACACGCAGTCACTCGCTCACTCACTCCCCCACAGTGATGGGAGAAAGCATCAGAAGGGCAAAAATCAAGAAAACCGGTGGGCGGAGGTAGAGACAGTTTAACTGGTGAAGCAAAGCTGGGGCGCAAGCAAAGCAAAATAAGGAATTGATTCAGTACTTCCCATCAGCAGGCAGATGTTTAGCCATTTCCTGGAAAGCAAGGCCTCAACATGCACAACAGTTACTTGGGAAGACAAACGCCATGGCTCTGAATGTCCCCTCTTCCTCCTCCTTTCCCTCAGCTTTTATTGCTGAGCACGATGTCATATAGCATGGAATATCCCTCTGGTCAGTTGGGGTCAGCTGTCTTGGTTGTGTCCTCTCAACTTCTTGCACATCCCCAGCCTACTCACTTGGGGCAGGGAGGGGGGTCAGAGTGGGAGGAAGAAAAGGCCTTGACGCTGTGCAAGCACTGTTCAGCAATAGCTAAAATGTTGGTGTGTTATCAACACTTCAGCCACAAATCCAAAACAGCACCATGTGAGCTGCTATGAAGAAAATTAACTGCATCCCAGACAGACTCAGTATACTTAAGCATGTTAAAAGTGAGTAGAAATACCCAGTACCAGTAGGACACTGAATTCTCTATATGGTCAAGCCTCTGGATTTCATTTTGGATCTCTTCTATCTGGTAAATATTGATGATCTCAAATAGTAGACTAGCCTTTCTGCCACTGATTCAGTAGGATTGTTCACGTGTGGTGGATTGACGTGCCACACCCCCACCCAGCCACTCTCTCATTCCCCCTCCTCAAGACAGGGAGAGAAAATAGGATGAAAAAGCTCATGGGACAAAATAAAGACAGGGAGATCACTTGCCAATTACTTTCACAGGCAAATAGACTTGACTTGGGGAAAATTAGTTTAATTTATTGCCAATTAAAATAGATTTAGATGGTGAGAAACAATGACAAACACTAAAACACCTCCCCTCCTGCCCCCTTTTTCCCAGGCTGAACTTTACTCCTTCACTCCTAACTCTTCTACCTCCTCCCCCCGCCCCCAGCAGCACAGAGGGGATGGGGAATGGGGGGCTGGGGTCAGTCCATACCAGTCCCTGTCTGCTGCTCCTTCCTCCTCACATTTTTACCCTGCTCCGACATGGTCTCTCCACAGGCCATAGTTCCTCCTGGGAGTACCCACGAGGGGCTGGAATGGGGGGCTGGGGTCAGTCCATACCAGTCCCTGTCTGCTGCTCCTTCCTCCTCACATTTTTACCCTGCTCCGACATGGTCTCTCCACAGGCCATAGTTCCTCCTGGGAGTACCCACCTGCTCCAGCGTGGTGTCCTCCACAGGCTGCAGTGTGGATATCTGCTCCAGCCCAGGCTGCAGGGAAATACTTGCTCCCCTGGTCTCCTTGACAGGTTGCAGGGGAATCTCTGCTGTGGCACCTACTCCCCTCCTCCTCTGACCCTGGTGTTCGCAGGGTTGTTTCTCACACTTTTTTCTTTCAGTCCTCACTGCATGTGTAGCATTTTGCCCCTTCTTGAATACGTTTTCCCAGAGGCACCACCACCTTGGCCGAGGGGCTCAGCTGTGCCTTGCGGTGGGTCCGCTGGAGCCGGCTGGAACCAGCTGCGTCCAGCACAGGACAGCCCCGGCCTCTCCTCACAGAGGCTGGCCCTGCAGCCCCCCCAGCTACCAAAACCTTGCCAGTGACACCCAATACATGATTAATTTTCATAAAGATGAATATTGGCTCCACTATTCAGCCCTAGAAGTTGCTTTGGCATAAACTTCCCTTAAATTCCCTCTTTCTCTTTGTTTTTCTTTTCTCGACTGTTGCCTTCTGAGGCACAACACTATCAACTATCCAACTAAATAAAATGTAACCATCCAGCAAGACAGTCTTCCAGGAGACATGTCACCTTTTTTCCCCCTCCCAAACACCCTTCCGTATCACAAAGCTTGTGCCTTCCCTCTCCCCTCTCTTTACATTCAGAATACTTCCATACCTAAGAATATGAAGCCGAGTCCCTATGTTTGGCTCACACCGCCAACCACAAGCAGTCCGTGCCTAGTGAGGCGGGAGGCATGTCCGGAACACTGCACTCCATACCTGCCCGGCCTCTCTTTGTCAGCCCGTTTGGAGACTAAGTCGAGGCTACATTTGAGGCTTTCTATTTCATGACCAACAAACTTTGGGCAATTTTTCATTTGTTTTTACTGGTGGTTTATTCTTTTTGCAAGTTCTACATTATTTTGAAGATATTTTTCTTTCAGCATTTTTCACAGCTCTCATTATGGGCACTAGAGATATGTGGCAACTAAAGCTGTAGTTATAACATCTACATCACTTTCTGTCTTGATTTGTGAATTGCCATAAAATCAATACCAGCAGGCAAACAAAAAACAGACAGAATGCTGGAAGGGGCCAAATTTTCTGCTGATGTCAAGGAGCATTACTATTGTCAATGGAGATATATTTATACAAGCAATTATTTGGTCCACTCTATTTGTATTTGTCTGCTAGTACGATTTTCATAGCAATTCAGAAATCAAGACAGAAAAGCAGCATGCATTTTTCCATTACTTCCTTCTGCCCCTTACTGGTATGAAATAAACCTTCTACTCATGCTTTGTACTTTACAGAGAACTAATTTCCTTTATAATTATACTTCATAAAAGAAATGATTTTATAGAATTAGCTAATATAATTGTAGCTAACTCAGTCTTAAAAATTAACTGAAGAAAGTATCAGGTCTGAAAATGAAAATTGTAAAAATCACAAATAATTACATCCACAGCATATCTGGACCATATGAGTGTACCGTCTGCAGGTTACCACAGAAGAGGAGCTCCTTGATGTGCTTTTGGCATGATTAAGTAAAACTTCCTCATCAGAATTTCAAACATCTGCCCTTTGTTTATTGATCTCTAAATCACATTGTAGATTCAAAGATTATACATACATTATACTCAACTCCACTTATACTAGTAAGTCTTTTATTATCCTATCTCATTTCACAAAATAAAGACTTATTATCCCTGGTGTAGTGAAGTGAATAGTCCTTTCAAATGTATGGATTTCTGAAAAGGGAAAGGTGAGTACTTTTTCGCTTTCAAAAGTGAAAATTTGTTAGTTGAACAAAAATGAAGCCCTAAAATTGACAGCTGAGATACCAGCTAATGGATAAAGAAAACTACAGTTTTAACAAAACATATGGACCGGTACAGTTAAAAATAAATCATAATATGTGGCTTAAACTAACTTATAACTTTTTAATATGTGGTTCTAGAAACTGCAGATTCAGGAAAACGAAACGTGCAAACTCTGTCAACAGAGAGTTTACCCAATGGAATGCCTAGTTGCCGACAAGCAGAATTTTCATAAATCATGTTTCCGATGTCACCACTGTGGCAGTCAATTAAGGTAAGAAGTAACTGCATGTTCACTCATAGAACTCTGCATTTGAATATAAATACAGCCATTGAAATTATTTTCAACTGGGCTATTCAGCCTGTAGGATGTTGGGTTGGCAGGGAAGTAACCCGGGTTCCCCTTTTCTTCTCTGCTACTGACATCTGCACTGTGACATGGAACAAGTCCTTTAAATTCTCTAAAGAACCGCTTCATCCCAGTACCTTCCAAATTCTTCTGCATGTTACTTCCTACTGACTGTTCCAGACCTTCGGGAGAGCTCATGAACAGGAAGCAGTAGACATGGAAACTTGGGTGGAATTTAAGACATCTGAACACAGACCAAATTTTCTCTCACTTTTCCTCATCCATAAAATGAATGATGGTGGTTCTCTGCGTTAGCAAACCACTCTTGCAACCTTTACATGAAATGCAGCATTTATTGCTCTATCAGACCGCAAAGGCTAACAGTTCTGATTTTAACACCTTTGCGGTTAGTTACACACATTTCCTTTACTTCTTTTAGGAGCAGAATCCAAATATAATTAAACACAAATTTCTATAATTCGCACAAAGGCTAAAGAAAATTGGCACTGTATTTTCTCCACCTATTTTGTAGAAAAATAGAGGATTCAGTCTTTAATATGATGAAGAAAAAGGTCCCAACAACCCCAAAGTGCTGTGAAACATTCCTATTTGAAGCTTATGCTGTACAACAACTGAATAAGTTTATATTCTTTCTTAAATTGCAAAGCATGACTCTCCTCCTTCATTTTGACTTGGAAATTGTGTGGGAACTGCCAATGAAAGATTTTAGATACTTTTTGTTTGTCTGCGTGCGTGTGTGGTCAGAATTGGCCAATACAGTGAATTTGCTCTCTTTTTGCTCTTCCTTTCTTTATATATATTGTCACGTAGAGGTATTTGAAATACCAAGTAAAACGTAAAATTCACAGTAGATTTATGATATGTGAAAGTATAAAACAAATTTTCTTCCATTCGGCAGCTTGGGAAATTATGCATCTCTCCACGGAAAAATATATTGTAAACCCCATTTTAAGCAACTTTTCAAATCAAAAGGAAATTATGATGAAGGCTTCGGACACAAGCAGCATAAAGAACTATGGAATTCTAAAGATCAGTGTAGCTCAGTTGGCAATATTCATGCTGAAGAAACACATCCCATTAATAGCATACCTGTTGATCCTAAACCAATTACTGAAATTGATCAAGACTTGTACTCAGGTACTCAAGGTATACATCCTGATATTTTGGATAATAATTTGAAAAAATCCACAGAAAGAGGTAAATTAAAGATGACATGGCCGCCTTCAACAGATGATGCAACACCTAAGAAAACATTTTCTGTTGAGGAAGTGGCTAAAGTAAATAAGCCAAAGTGGCCGCCAGAAGGTCTTGCTCAAGAAGGTTCTAGTTTACATACAAATAAACCTCTGGGCAATAAAAAGGACCCTCAGAAGAAAAATGCTGTGGGAGAGCAAAATAAAAATGACACTGCAAATGCACGACAAAATCAACACTCATCCTTTAGCGCTCTGTCTGAAAAAGAAGCTACAAATACCTGTAAAGCAAAGAAAAATGAAGCAGGCAATAAGGGAAAAGATGACGAAGCTGGGAATGTGCAAGATAAGCTGAATAAAACAGGAGGATCACAGAATAGGGAGGAAAGTGGAAAGGATATTAATGAAGGTGATAATGTGATTGTGCATAGTGCTGGGAAGGAGCGAGAGAAAAAAATTAACGAAACTGGTGATTCAGAAGTTGTACAGGTTACTAACATTGATGATGTAACAGTACAAAAGAATCATAAAGAATTCAGCTTGAATAACAATAACAATAACAATTATGCCACTTTTTTACATCTAAACATTCGTAGGCAGGAAACAACTCTCTCAGCTACGTCTAAGCCAATGACAGCATTAAGCCATGCAATTTGCACTGTATCGCAGCATGCCTTTGCAAAGCTGGAAAATCGGTCTGGAAATGAAGAAATATTTGAGACGTATGAATCTCACGAGAGCTATTCTAGTGATACTGTAGCTGTTTCACGGGATGAACAGAACTCAAAAGATGAAGATGCTGTTACCTCTAATAGTCTTGCTCAATTTAATAAAGATGCCACTTGGCAGAAGTCTTGTACTAATAGCACATTAGTTTTAAAGGAGGCAACTAATACAACATTCCCTGTTGATATTGAGTTGGTACGCATTGGAGAAGAGTCAAAATATGACAAAAATTTAAATACTATTTTATCTGACACTCTGAAAACATCTTTTCTTAAAAAAGACAACCTGGTTTTAGACTGTGGTCTAATAGACTCTGTAGACATAACTAAAAAGTCCTGCAGCCCATATTCAACAGAACATGGGAATTATGATACAGAACTGAATGATATTAATGCCTGTCAAGAAAGTGAAATAATCGAAGCGTCAAAGAATGACATAAACACAAGCTTAGATTTACTGAGCTCAAGATATACAGCTGGTCCATCATTCCAAGGCAAGAAAATCAAGTTCAAACAGTTCACTGTAGAAGAACAAATTAAAAGACATAGATTCTATGATGAAAATGAATAAAACAGCTAAGCGATTAGCTACATCTGTCACTCATTATAAAGTAAGTCATAAATAGGTATTTCTTCAGTCCAGTTATTTTATAGTCCTTCCTGAAGAATTTAATATCCAGAGATTACATATGAAAATTTGTATTATATACTGTCAATTACGCAGACTTTATTTACTTACTTTATATTTAAGGCAATGAAGATGCGTAAAGTAGAGGTTTTTCAGTCTGTAATTACAACAACTTGTCTCTCTATGTTCCTGAACATTGCAAGAAATATTTTACTACATGACTGTCCTGCAGAAACATAGTAATTCAATTTTACTCTTTATCATTTGTAACAAATTAAGATGTGAAGCACCTGGTGTGCACAAAACAAAAAAAAAAATTTCCATAGGTTTTTTCGTATGTATTGTTATTGTAACTGAGATGTTACTCCATGACGTGTTATGTACATTTGTTGTGTTAGCTCATACTAGAACATTTGGCATTTGGTTGGGTTTGGTAGGGAGGGGGTTGGTTTGGGGTTTTTTTTTGCAATATCATGCAGTACTTAATTTGAAATGGACTCATTATTGAATAGTAACCACAACTGGTTGGTGAATAGTACTGTTTTTCTATATTCCTAGAGCTGCTACTATGGCATTATATTGCATAACAGAAAAAAAAGTCTGTAAATTTTAATACAGGATAAAAACAAACATCCTAGGCAGAACTAGAACAAGGTTTAGGAACACTGGGCAATTAAGACTAGTGGTTGTTTCAGTAACTAATGCAAAGTCATTTTAACTGAAGCAGCTCTCCAATTTCTTATTTAAACCTGTACAAATTTATGCAGATTTAGCACTTTTTTTCCTTAACATGTTTATGGATTAACATTTGCTCTCTTAACACTATTCCAGCTTGCATGAAACAGCAACATATCATTTAACTGTTGACAATGCATAATAAAAAAGCACTTTACAAAAAAGTATTTTGTGAAGTTTTTTTAATATGAATTTATACATACGATTTCCCTTAAACAGTTTGTGAAATGCTTCATGCGATAATTACTTTAAACTAAAGTGTTTGTCAGAGTGAAAGGGAAGGATAACCAAAATAGTTTTCAAAATAATTTCTGAAGTATCTGAGAGAGACAGGTGTTTGGAGTAATTTACAGGAAAGACAGGTTGATGTTAAAACATTGAAGAAATTATTGTGCAGAGTTCTAGAACAAAATATCTGCTGCACTACAACTCATTGCCCAAAGCAATGGGATTGTGGGTAAGTGGGATATCCACGTGACTCTTATTCTATACCTACACAGAAACAACTATAAAGTATACACACACGAGAAAAGCTATACATAGTATTTCTTCCACAAGAACACTTCAAGAGAGTGAAGCCTCCTCTTTATGCATCATGCTTCGCTCCTCCAAAGTATTCTCACAAAATGCAGAAATATAGAAAAGACCCCTCAGAATGAATGTTCCCAGAAGAATAATTAGCCTTCACGCAAGGCACTCAGACACCACTGTATTTGATAACTTTGTTAAAAAGCATTAGCCTATAGGCCATTGTGCGCATTTTAAAATTATAGCATGGAACAGACACAGAAGTGCAGAGCCTTCCTCTAGCGGATTCATTAGCTTTCCACTCTCTTCTCTCAGTGGGTGGCCTTTTTTCTTCCTCCAGTAGTGAGGATGAATGTTAAGGCAAAATTAAATGATACCGCATAATTATTTCTTTGAAACACAAGCCAGGTGTCCCATCACACTGTCTTGGAGTTCTTATACAAATCATAAGGATGGCACCCTGTAAATCTGTTCTGGAAAACTAATAGCAATGGGTAATAAAAAATTGCAAAAGAATGTAAATTATTTGAAAAAAAAAATTGAAGTAGAACAGTTCTTCAGAACTTCAGCCAAAAGCTTAGAGCAGGAGTAATCGGAGACAAGATAAGGTTGGAAGTCACTGCGATGTGTGTTTATCTTACTCCCTTTTCCATAGAAGGCAAAAGAGATGGGCGATGGTATATGCCTGAGTCACCCTACTGTATACATACGTTACCACTACAGAAGTCACACTCTGGAGAGAATGCATATAGCAGCTGAAAGAGAGATTGGGATAAAAGCTGTAGCTAGAAAGTAGCAACCGTACAGATTTTCTTTAAATGAAATGCTAAATGAGTAGTAACTCTTTAGCTGCCAAAAAGCCTCATGCGTTTTGGGGAAACCATATGGATTTACTGCAGCCAAGGAGCTGGTCTTATGGTTTTAAAAGAACTAGCATCCATTAGAGCTGTACTTTTGTGAGAGAAAGTTGTTATTCTAAGTTTAAATATCTTTAAGTTAACCTCTAGGCTTTCTAAGTTTTAGTACCCGAATGTAAATAACCAGTCATCAGTTTGTGAAAGTCCCATTCTGTGAGGAGAGGCTTGATGGCTCCTGAGGAATCGTGGTACCAAAACCCCCATTCTCTCAGCAGGATAACTTCCTCTGGCTACTCCTAGGTTTCACCCCTTAGCTCATGGACAGGATATTTAGCAATGCCTAGGAACGGGACCTTACAGTCATGGAGGGCAGAGCTGATCCATTTCAAGCACAGCTGCAGCCAAGCACTGTTCAACAGCAAAACTACACTGACAAGTAGCAGTGAAATGAAACTTCACATCATTATTTAGTAAAGGAGACTTGCGCTCTGAGAAGTCTATTTTCACTAGGTATTATTGGCTGGTGAAGATGTTCTACTGCTTTTAGAACACAGCAGGTATTCTTCAATACTCAAAAACACCAATTAGAGAGATTAAAGAGCCTGATTTAATGTCTTTTTAAGGAGCTTCTGAATTGCTGGGCCAGCACTGGACTTCAGAGAACTTCTAAATTTGCAGTCCCTTTGCAGCTTCATTAACATAATTGGCACAAAGACTTACTTAGAGCTACTTAAATTGTTTTTATAGATGCAGCATATCAACTGATCCCTTTGCAGTCTTTGTAGAGTCAGGGGCATCCTCAAAAATATAGAGACACCTAAATAACATTTTTACTATACTGCTGAAGTGGACTCCTCCTAGGTGAAGGACTGGCTGAAAGCAAATGCTTGATTACTGCAAAAAGTGTACTTACCTTCTCTGTCTTCTGTTAAGCATTTATCTCCTTCATACATATTAATAGGCATACCTACATCAGTATCTTAAAAGACACAGTGCTCAGCATGTACATTAAAACCATGCTAAGGATCCACCTTATCCTAACACAGAACATTTCTTGCAAAATCCCTCCCATAAATGATTATAGTTCAGGCCTTATTTTCAAAGTGCAGGATAATTATCACAATTACTTACGTAAGATTTGGGTCACTTCAGTCAAGTACACCTCCAACTGTTAGGTATAATTGCAAAAACATTAACTACCCTGGGTACACTCACAACAAACAGGAAAACATGCAGTCAAAAAGAGACAGATTAAAACCTTTGTCTCTTTTCATGCTTTCATCCATTAAAAGGCACCTAAGTTAAATCCCTTGGGTGAACTTTAGTGACTTTCACAAGCAGCATTTCACCTTGTGTGTGGGTTACATTTGATGATTTTGACATGAAAAGCATTTTTAAATGTTTTAAAGAGAGGAACTGTGTTAAAATGGGCTTAGGAACATAATCAGACTGACCTTACTTTTGGGCTTTCTAAAACATTAAATGACAAATTGACCACAAAAGATCTGAATTTTCAGTATAGTCCTTAAAGAAAAAATAAGGCAGCTGTGTACTGCTTCAGGAGAAGAGATGAAAAATTCAAAGTCTTACCTCTCCATGGACCTACTTCCTATACCTTCCTCACCTCCCCTCTCTTAGGGTAGGGTGTGGAAGAGAGTAAGAGAGAGTAAAGTCTTCACATGTATTATGAATGTGTTTTTCATTAACTGAGTACATTACAATTTTATTAAAAACAGACATGAAAAATCTACTACACATTTGCAGCAGGTGATTTTCAAAATCTCATAATCTGGTTAAATAAAAAAAAACCCTCCTAGAAAAACCTCAAAGGGATATCTAAGTGATGACAGCTAATTTCAAACCCATTTTACCTTTTGGCTCTTGACACTGTAACCACCACTATCAGTATCCATTTAAAATTACTTTTAGACTGATGTAATGATACATGTGACAGATGCTAAGAAGGAATAACGTTCTATCACAACAGGTACCTATGAAAGAGCCATTCCTTCCCCACAGAAACTGCATATTACAAACTGAAAAGAAGGCTGTTTTTCCAGTCACCCTTATTGTAGAAAAAAATTCACCAAATACTTCATTTTGTGATAAAGAAAGTCACCTCTCAGCAAAAAAGGAAGATGACTTTTCAGTACAAAAGGTGAAATAGTTTAAAACTTATGGGTGAAAGGAGGTATAGCTATACCATGAGGGGATGGAACAGTAAAGAAAGTACTTCGAAGTTCAAGTTTGGTAAATTAGATTATGTCATCTTAATTGTAATACTGGTGCATATATTATAACAAAAAGAATAACTAATCTATAAGAAATAGTCTCTTACCACTTAGAATATGCTTCCAGTTTCTCTCTGTGATCACAGTTAAGAGCTCTACAGGATATTAGATAAAAAGGCAGAAATAGAAAGCTATGAATTCAGCATGTATAGCTGGACACAAGAAGTAATTTTGCAGTTCCAATCTTAAGAGGTTTTTCATAAAGCAATATTAGAGTGGAAATAGCACGTGCAGAGTGTCATATACTGTTTAGAATCTCTTTTTCTTTATTGTCCTATAAGCTGCTGTTCTAATTTGTTGGGATGTTACTCTTGTATTGAAGGCTACAGATTGAGTATTGGTGGCTTTGACGGAGGAAACTATTTTGCCAAAGTGGGCAGTGGTTTTTATGTGCTTGGAGAAAAGGTAATGAAAAGTAGCTTTAACAGGCTCTGGCAGCTATCCATGCTGACAGCATGCCATAAAACAGAAACAGCATGGACTCAGCTTCTTAGGCCAGAATGTGAAGCCCAAATTGGTTTCTTCAAAACAC